GCCAAGCAGCTGGAGCATTGCAGAGGCATCGCGGAGCGTCGTGGGTGGTAAGTATGCATGCACATCTGCACGCATGTGCACATGCACTATGCACGTTCATGTGGTGGGCGCCCGGCTTCGTTGCACCATGCCAGTTGCACTGGGATCCAAAACCTACCACTGTGTCATTGCATATATTCAGACAAAAGTTTGACTAAAATACCAACATTTTCCTATCTGTCTTACCTACAGTTTCCAACATGAACAGTTTTTTTTTAGGGTTTTCAGATTTTCATATGAGGCTTCACAGCTTCAGACCCACAAATCCATTTCATTTAAACCTGAATCATACAGCGTCTAACCTCCACAAAATGGAATGTCAAACCCATCTCCAAAGCCCCATTTCCTTTTTGATGTACAGAACCAAGGGTAAGTAAAGGGGATTTATATAGAAGATTCGTGAAATTGTGCTTCATCAGCAAAACGTACCACTATTGTCTCTTTCGTGGCCTGATGCAGCATCTTCGAGGTAGCTGAATTGTGTTTCACATTTCTGGAGTGATGATAATGAAGATGTAGTAGAGTCCGAGAGTTTTCTGTCACTCCTGGTGTCTTTGGATGGCACATCTGTGATGCTAAATTCCGATACTGAGCTGAGAACAATACTTTTCATAGATTTGTCATCTTTATTTGCTAGCTGATGTTCTAGAATGGTGGGGAGAAATCAAAATTACTTGATTCAGATAGTTTTAACTTTTTCCCCAGAATTCCCATATGAGTGTAAATCCCCCAAGTCATAACAATGTAACATAGCTAAAATGATGTTGGCTCTTATAAAGTGGGGATGTTACTGAAAAATTTGCATTTGGCTCTTCCAGTAAATTTAAAAAAAATATCCAAGCAGATTTTGGCCAATCATGAAACAATAATCTATAATAATACAAAAGCATAGGTAACATTTGGGGAGCATATACAGATTGCTGGTAACCTGATACATAACAACAAATAGCACCTGATAGTCAAAACCATATACTACTTTGTTATAGCAAAGCCCCCCCCCCCAAAAAACCTTACACCTTTATAACAAGATCTAAATGAAAATTTGTTAATAAAATCTATAGATCTTTTTCCCGTCACAATTTACAATTTATATCGAAATTTTTTTTCTTACTAAATTGCCAATACATGTATATATCATTATGCTGTATCCATTATCATTTCATTATTATTATTATTATTATTATTATTATTATTATTATTATTATTATTATCATTATCATTATCATTATTATTATTTATAGTTAATTAATTGTNCGCACGGAAGCTCAGGGAGGGGGAAAAACTGGCCTCCTGGAAGGCCTCCAGAGCCCAGGAAGGAAGCTTTTGCCCTTCCAGAGGCTGAAGGAAAGCCTTCAGAGCCTGGGGAAGGCGAAAACGTCCCCCTCCCCGCCATAGTGCAGGAGGCCGACTAGGCCACGCCCCACCATGGCCACGCCCACCCAGCAACCAGGCAGAGAACCCGTTGCTGAAATTTTTGAAGCCCACCCCTGAGAATAGCCCGGAGACTTTGAGCCAAAGGTCAGACATGGCGGGAAGCATGCAATTGAGACAGCCCAGGTGAGATGATCAAGAATGGGAATTACCTGTATTAGCCTGACTGGGTTTTGCATCAAGTCTTCCCCCCCAAACAGGTAGATTCTTTGGTCTTTGGCAGCTACAGCAGGATGCAGCGTCGCAGTGGGAATATTCGCCATGGCTTCCCAAACGTTGTAGATGCTGTCGTACCTCTCCATGGAATTTAAGATTTCCTGGTTCACGCCGATGCCCCCGATGGCAAAGATATAGTTTTTGTAGGCCACACTTCTATGGGAATAGCGTGCCATGAACATGGGCTCTATCGGCCTCCATTGATTCAGTTTGAGAGAGAAGATGTAAACGTTATTACTGGCTTGGTTCCTCCCATTACCTACAGGAATTCCCCCCAGAAGATAGACATTACTGTGCAGACTGACGGCCGAGGCCTTGTAGAGACGGGTTGGATACTTGGCAAGCCTCAACCATTGATTTGTTTTCTCATCATACAGCAAGACGTCCCTGGTCGTTTGTTGATTGTCTTTGCGACCGCCGATTAAGAGGAGGAATTCCCGACATGAATAGCGCCGCGGAACATGCCAGAAGGGTTTGACGTCAGGGGCACTGACACTATACAGCGAGAACATCTGCTTATTTGCAAGTTCTAGGATATTTTGACAGGCGGGGGATGACTGAATGAGGGAGTCGTTGGCTATGAAGCGGAAGAAGAAGGTTGGGTGGACATACTGAAGCCTCACCTTTTGGAACAAGTCTTGAATATAGCCTTGTCGTGCTTGAAGGTCATGCCTTACCCAGACCATGATAGCCTCAAAAACCTGTTCCTCCTCTCCGCAAAGCTCGTCATTCCCAAGGTAGTCTATCAACTCTAACACACAAAGTTCTTTCAGATCTTCAGAAGTGGCTACTTCAGGGAAATACCTCAGAGCCATCTCTTTCGCTTTCTGATTAAGATCCCGACAATGGAGGATTTCAGAAAGCCTGCTGAGACTGAGGCAATTTTCTGGAGACAGCTGATCCTGGAGATAAGCTGAACAAGCTTCGAAGAGTTTCATGTACTGGAGCATGGATGCCGTCTCCATGAGACTCAGGATGTTCTCGGGGGTCATGAGAATCTCTCCCGTGTAGACATAAAGGATAATCGAATGCAGAATGCTGGAGTCCATTCCTTGGAGGTTGACTTTTTCCTGGATGCTCTCCTTAAAGTTGTCACAGAACATGGCCTTGAAATAGGGGCTGCTTGAGACAAGGACATTCTTGTGGCAGGGAATTTCAATGTCGTTGGTGCACAGGAGGACGTCGGTTAGGATTCTGTTTTGTCTCAAGATGTTCAGCTGCTTTAGGAGATCCGACGAGAAATCTTGGTCTCTGAAGAGCAGGCCTGGGAGACAGTTTTCTTCCATGATGTAAACAGGAGAATCCAAAGGAGAATTCTTAGGATGACAGTATCAAAAATTCTTTGGGGTGCAGTGCAAAAGTCCCCTTGAAATATTGTCCATCTGTTACAGAAAAGGGATATGGTGGCTCAGTGGCTAAGACGCTAAGCTTGTCAATCAGAATCAGGTCGGTAGTTCGAATCCCTAGCACCGCGTAACGGAGTGAGCTCCTGTTACTTGTCCCAGCTTCTGCCAACCTAGCAGTTCGATTGGATGTACAAATGCAAGTAGAAAAATGGGGACCACGTTTGATGGGAAGGTAAACAGCGTTCCATGCGCCTTTGGCATTTAGTCATGCCGGCCACATGACCACAGAGACATCTTTGGACAGCGCTGGCTCTTCAGCTTTGAAATGGAGATGAGCACCGTCCCCTAGAGTCAGGAACAACTAGCACATATGTGTGAGGGGAACCTTTACCTATTACAGAATGGAGAAAACAGTTGCTTACACCAACAAAGAAGGTATATATATATATATATATATATATGTAGTCCTTGACTTACACTAAACAACTA